CCCAGACCCATCGCTCCGCCCAGGCCCTTCCCACTTCTCCCAGACCCTTCCCACTCCGCCCAGTCCCTTCCCACTCTGCCCAGACCCGTCCCGCTCCGCCCAGGCCCTTCCCACTTCTCCCAGACCCTTCTCACTCTTCCATATCCCTTCCCACTCCGCCCAGACCCTTCCCACTCTGCCCAGACCCGTCCCGCTCCGCCCAGGCCCTTCCCACTTCTCCCAGACCCTTCCCACTCCGCCCAGTCCCTTCTCACTCTGCCCAATACCTTCCCAATTTTCCCAGTCCCTTCCCACTCCTCCCTATCTCTTCCCACTCTTCCCAATCCCTTCCCACTCCTCCCAGTCCCATCCTAATCTGCCCAGTCCCTTCCTACTCACCCAGCCCCTTAGAGCTCTCGCCCATCACAGGGCCCTTGTCAGGCCATCAGTGACTTGCTCTGGTATAAACTCCACAATTGAGATGATTCTAATTACTCTTTATTCTTCTCTATTACTATTTCCTGAGCCCATGGCAAGTCTGAGTTTCCAGAGGGGAATTCTGTCTCTCTGCTCCAGGCCAAGCACACCCAGGAAGGCAGTCAGAGCTGGGGGGTGAATGGGGAAACTGGAGCCCTGGTGGACATGAAGGAGCTTGGGATCTGGGAGCCCTTGGCTGTCAAACTACAGACCTACAAAACAGCCGTGGAGGTAAGGAGGGCTGGGAGCTCCAGAGCCTCTGAGGCACAGCCCTGGCGAGACTAGGACATCCCTCCTGGTGTGCTGGGAGCTTTGGGTGGGCACCACACTGTGGGGAGTGCTGGTCTGAGCCTGCTGCTGTCTCAGGTGAGATGGGGAGGGACATGGGAGCCTTTCCCAGGAGTTGGATTTTGCTCCCGTGGCTAAAATGCATCGTGTTCCTTCCCATCTTTTCCTGCAAATGGTGCAGAGATCCATCTCACAGGGCCAGGCAGGGCTGTGCCTGAGCCAATCCAGTACCAGCAGCATGCTGGAATCAGTGGGAGCTCCAGGCCTTGGCTTGGTTGGGGTGGCCATGTGTCAGCTGCTCCTTGGTTACAGATGCCACCATCCCCATGCTGGGGTGGAACCAAAGGCTGTTCCTCAAGGGACACCATGTCCAGGTGAAAAGCTGTTCCTTAAAGGACACACTGACCAAACCAAAGGCTGTTCCTCAAGGGTCACCATGTCCAGACCCAAGGCTGTTCCTCAAGGGACACTGTCCCTTCCCTGTCACTCAGTGAGGAGAAATGGTTGTCCCTGTTTCCATGGAGGGGGAAGCAGCCCCTTGCTGCTCTCACATGTACTGTGTCCCTTCTCCTGTGCTGCCAGGACCCTCTCAGCCCTGGCAGCTGGGCAGGGTGGGTTTGTCCATGTGCCCACCCTGAGCTGTGGTGTCCCTGCAGACTGCAGTTCTCCTCCTGCGCATCGACGACATCGTGTCGGGGCACAAGAAGAAAGGTGACAACCAGAGCAAACAGGCTGCAGCAGCACCCGAGGCTGCCCAGGAGTGAGGGAAGAGCTGCAGGGGGGAACCTGCATCCACCCTGACACGAGCAGGAGCTCAACACATCGACCTGGGCCCGAGGCTGAGCCAGGGAACATTAGTTTAAAGTCTAGGAGGGATGGAGAATCCCCTGGAGCTGGGGCTGGTGCTGTCCCTGTGCTGCAGGACACTGCTGCTGGGGGGAAGGTTCTGGACTGAAACTTCTCCTCTTTGCCCTAAAATAAACGTGTTTATTTCAGGCTCTTTGTGTGTTTAATGCCCATTTGGGGGTGTGTGATGGAAAAGAGACCCCCAGGCTGGGGGAGAAGGACTTGGGAGTGGAGTGGGATTTGACAAGAAGCTCAACGTGCCCCAGCCACGTGCTGGGGGTGTCCAGCTTGGAGAGACCTTAGAGCCATTTCCAGGGCCTGAAGGGGCTCCAAGAGAGCTTAGAGGGAGTTGGGACAAGGGATGGAGGGACAGGACACAAGGAATGGCTTCCCACTGCCAGAGGGCAGGGAGAGATGGGATATTAGGAAGGAATTCCTCCCTGGGAGGTGCTGAGGCACTGGCACAGGTTGCCCAAAGCAGCTGTGACTGCTCCATCCCTGGGAGTGTTCCAGGCCAGGTTGGATGGGCTTGGAGCCACCAGCAGAATGGAACTGGATGGTCCTTCAGGTGACTTCCAACCCAAACCAGTTTGTGATTCCCTTGATAAATCCAATTGTACAACAGCCCCTGGAAGCAGGAAATTCCCTGCCCTGAGCCTGGCTGGAGCTATTCCCAGCTCCCTGCACACCACAGCAGCAACAACAAGCTCATAGTGCTCCTTTTATTTTATTAGAAAAGAATCAATATCTCAACCCTGCACAGAGCAAGCAGAATGGACAAGAAGAGCACAGCTCCCT